CCCCAAAACCCCAAAACCCCAAGGTGCTATAAAATTGAATCTTGGAAGAAGTGATAATCTTTAAAAGCTTAAATAATTTGAATATTGTAATTATTTTATTAATTATTAGAAATGGCAAGTAACATGACCACTGCTGAGGCGACTGTGATTGGTGCAAAGACTTTATGGATCGGTGATGTAGAACCCTGGATGGATGAAAATTACATGGCTGGTTTATTTGCAGGAGTAAGATTTTTTTAGGCTTTATTAAATTTTAGATAGCCTCGGTTTAATCCGTTAAGTTGATTAGGGATAAGTTGAAGGGGACTCCTGTAGGTAAGTGAGGTACATTTTTTCGTCTCTTAATCTAAATATTCTAATCATAGGTTATGGATTTATTGAATTCCCAAATCATGAGGTCGCTAAAAATGTATATCTGACTTTGAATGGATCTCCAATACCAGGGACTACAAGGTGCTACAAATTAAATTGGGCAACACATGGTAATGGAGGTCTGAAGTAAGTGCCAGCTACCACTGTTACAGCTTAGCCAGGACCAAATACTGCTCCAATAGCTTAGGGGGATTTCTAAATCTATGTAGGCGATCTTGATCCAAACGTAAATGACTAACTTTTATTGGGAGCATTTAACAAAAGATATCCAAGTGTTTTGCAAGCTAAAGTTATAGTTGACCCCGTATCAAGATATTCCAAGGGCTATGGATTTGTTAAGTTTGGAAACTAAGAGGAATCTTAAAGAGCTATTGTTGAAATGCAAGGGAAGTATTTATTCAACAAACCAATGAAAATTAATAATGCAAATGCTATACAAAGACGTGAAGGACCTGGAGGAGGTGGATCTGGAGGTGGTGGCGGTGGTCATTCATAGCATCCTCCTGCTTATAACAATCCTCCACCGTATGGGTACCCTCCTCCTTAAATGGGAGGATACTATGGAATGCCTCCACCAGGATAAGATTACTATTCATAATACTATTACCCACCACCTCCTCCCTTTGGAGTTCCACCACCAGGAGCTTATCCACCTCCCTATGATCCATATGCTATGCCTCCTGGAGGATATTATCCATCTCCTATTCCTCCAATTCAATAAAATATCCAACCTTAGCAATAACCACTAATTCAGTAATAACATTAATCACCAACATAAATCACACAAACATAGCCTAAGCCTGATTATAATACTTAACAATAAACATAGTAGTAAAAAACTCAACCGAATCCAGAATAATAATTCCAATAAAAACCATAGAATTTACCATCTTAAAATATACAACCGCAATTTATTCCTGGACCATAAGGCATTCCTCCTCCATATTATGCTCCACCTCCTCATTTGATACCTCCTCCTTATGGAATGTATCCACAGCCAATGGGTATACCGCCAATGATGCAAAATATGCCAAGAAATCCTAAATTTGATTAGCAGGATTACTCTTCCACTGGCCAATAGTAAATACCAGGCTAAATTGGATTCTCTTAACCACCTGCTGGCAAATAAATAAAAAAGAATCAAATAAAGTTCACATCAGAGGAAATAGATCAAATGAATAAAGAATTCATGAAAGAGATTATTGAAAAACCAGAGGTAATGTATCTTTACTGAATAATAATCATGCAGTTATGAACAATTCAAAAGAGTAATTAAATTTAATTTCTTAAAACTCTTCTATTAAAATACTAATTCCAATCATGGGGTTTTGGGGTTTTGGGG